CTATGAAGGCAAGCATTTGTGTATGACAAATTAAACCATAGAGTCATGATGTCAAACAGACAGAATTAGGTGTGACAATTAGGACCCTGTGTGAAGATGTCACATTTACCAGGCACCTTATAAATTGTAACAACAAATCTTCAAAATAATTCTTCAGTAAATAATTACAAATAAAAAAGCTGATCTTTTCTGATCAGTTGCGCAGAACCACCAGCCAGAACCTGACATCTGAGCATGGATAGACATGGCTGTCTGTGACTGTAGCTGGAGTCAGATGAAAGGCTTGTGTCTGTGGATGCATGAGATATTGGTAACTGTACCAGTGAGAGATCAACTGTAATGTATCAACTAATTTATAACTGTAGGTGTGACAGATAAACTAAAGTAAATCAATTAATTTATAGCTGTGTGATAAACTGTAATATATCAACTAGTTTATAACTGTAGCAGTGAGAGATAAACTGTAATATATCAACTAGTTTATAACTGTAGCAGTTAAAGATAAACTGTAATATATCAACTAGTTTGTAACTGTAGCAGTGAGAGATAAACTGTAATATATCAACTAGTTTATAACTGTAGCAGTTAGAGATAAACTGTAATATATCAACTAGTTTATAACTGTAGCAGTGAGAGATAAACTGTAATATATCAACTAGTTTATAACTGTAGCAGTTAGAGATAAACTGTAATATATCAACTAGTTTATAACTGTAGCAGTTAGAGATAAACTGTAATATATCAACTAGTTTATAACTGTAGCAGTGTGAGATAAACCGTAATATATCAAATAGTTTATAACTGTAGCAGTGTGAGATAAACTGTAATATATCAACTAGTTTATAACTGTAGCAGTGAGAGATAAACTGTAATATATCAACTAGTTTATAACTGTATCAGTGTGAGATAAACTGTAATATATCAACTAGTTTATAACTGTAGCAGTTAGAGATAAACTGTAATATATCAACTAGTTTATAACTGTAGCGGTTAGAGATAAACTGTAATATATCAACTAGTTTATAACTGTAGCAGTGTGAGATAAACTGTAATATATCAACTAGTTTATAACTGTAGCAGTGTGAGATAAACTGTAATATATCAACTAGTTTATAACTGTAGCAGTGAGAGATAAACTGTAATATATCAACTAGTTTATAACTGTATCAGTGTGAGATAAACTGTAATATATCAACTAGTTTATAACTGTAGCAGTTAGAGATAAACTGTAATATATCAACTAGTTTATAACTGTAGCAGTGTGAGATAAACTGTAATATATCAACTAGTTTATAACTGTAGCAGTTAGAGATAAACTGTAATATATCAACTAGTTTATAACTGTAGCGGTTAGAGATAAACTGTAATATATCAACTAGTTTATAACTGTAGCAGTGTGAGATAAACTGTAATATATCAACTAGTTTATAACTGTAGCAGTGTGAGATAAACTGTAATATATCAACTAGTTTATAACTGTAGCAGTGAGAGATAAACTGTAATATATCAACTAGTTTATAACTGTATCAGTGTGAGATAAACTGTAATATATCAACTAGTTTATAACTGTAGCAGTTAGAGATAAACTGTAATATATCAACTAGTTTATAACTGTAGCAGTTAGAGATAAACTGTAATATATCAACTAGTTTATAACTGTAGCAGTGAGAGATAAACTGTAATATATCAACTAGTTTATAACTGTAGCAGTGAGAGATAAATTGTAATGTATCAACTAATTTATAACTGTAGCAGTGAGAGATAAACTGTAATGTATCAACTAATTTATAACTATATCAATGAGAGATAAACTAATATATTAACTAATTTATAACTGTAGGTGTGACACATAAACTATAATAAATCAACTAATTTATAGCTGTATCAGTGTGAGATAAACTGTAATATATCAACTAGTTTATAACTGTAGCAGTGAGAGATAAACTTCAAGTCAACAGGCTAATGACGAGAGCATTGTTTCATTGCAGCAGTTGTTTCCCCAAATGGCTTGGTCACTCTTTAATTTCCCCAGTTCCAAAACATAGTCTTATGCTGCTACCACTCTGTGAACGTCTAGTTTTTAATTCGGCTAAATTAGTTCACAAAATATTATCCTCAAAAACTCCACGTTACTTATGGCCATTGTTTAAATATAATGGAAGGCACAGCCAACACCTAAACCAAGGACAGACGTTTACAAGTTTAGTGTACTCTGCAGCTCAGTTGTGGAACTATCTTCCACAACAAGTCAAAAATACCATTAGTCCCCACACATACAGTGGGAAACTGAATATTATCTGAACACAGATTACATGTCCCCATAGAAGATCAAAATATTTTAGAAATAGCACATATTTTTCCTAGGTTTATAACAAATATTATGGTTTTCTGTAGTTAGAAAGGTGCACATTAGAGTGCTTGTAGCAAATGTTTTGATGTTATTAATAATGTTTATTACAGTTTGATGCATGAATGAAATGATGTTTGAAGGGAGGGAGACTATAACAGCAGAATGTTAGACCAGCCTGTGTGCCCGATTCTTAATCTTTTGAAAATAACGTTATTTTTTGTGTGTGCTTTTTGTTAACTCGCTCCATTGATAAATTGCAGCCTGCCGAGCAAAGCCAAACTCCGTCGCTTGTAAGACAATTCCAAGTAAAAAATGCAAGTGTAAACCAAACAATGCAGCCATGACAGGAAGCACTACCTTCATTCAGAATGTGAGGCAAATGGCTTGACCACTTTGCCACAGAGACACCCGATAAACTCGAATATAACAGGCAACTTCAAGTGTGAGGGATACAGACTTAGGCAATTGATAACTTCAACTGTGAGGGATACAGACTAAGGCAATAGATAACTTCAACTGTGAGGGATACAGACTTAAAGTATAGGCAATTAATAACTTCAACTGTGAGGGATACAGACTTAGGCAATTGATAACTTCAACTGTGAGGGATACAGACTTAACGTATAGGCAATTGATAACTTCAACTGTGAGGGATACAGACTTAAAGTATAGGCAATTGATAACTTCAACTGTGAGGGATACAGACTTAAAGTATAAACAATTGATAACTACAACTGTGAGGGATACAGACTTAAGCAATTGATAACTTCAACTGTGAGGGATACAGACTTTAAGTATAGGCAATTGATAACTTTAACTGTGAGGGATACAGACTTAAAGTATAGGCAATTTATAACTTCAAGTGTGAGGGATACAGACTTAAAGTATAAACAATTGATAACTACAACTGTGTATGGATACAGACTTAGGCAATTGATAACTATAACTGTGAGAGATACAGACTTAAAGTATAAACAATTCATAACTTCAACTGTGAAGGATACAGACTTAAAGTATAAACAATTGATAACTTCAACTGAGAAGAATACAGACTTAAAGTATAGGCAATTGATAACTTCAACTGTGAGAGATACAGACTTAAAGTATAAACAATTGATAACTTCAACTGTGAGGGATACAGACTTAAAGTATAGGAAATTGATAACTTCAACTGTGAAGGATACAGACTTAAAGTATAAACAATTGATAACTACAACTGTGAGGAATATAGATTTAATGTATAAACAATTGATAACTACAACTGTGAAGGATACAGACTTAAAGTATAGGCAATTGATAACTTCAACTGTGAGAGATACAGACTTAAAGTATAAACAATTGATAACTACAACTTTGAAGGATACAGACTTAAAGTATAAACAATTGATAACTTCAACTGTGAAGGATACAGACTTAAAGTATAAACAATTGATAACTACAACTGTGAGATATACAGACCTACATATTGGCAATTGATCACTTCAACTGTGAGGAATAGAGACTTAATGTATAAGCAATTGATAACTATAACTGCGAGGGATACAGACTTATGTATTAGCAATTGATAACTATAATTCTGAGTTGTAGTTGTAAACTTTTTTATAAGCAAGTGAAAACTACAACTGTGAATTGTGAAGGAATTCACTAACAGAGGCAGAACTGACTATAGCACCTGATGTCTCTCTATACATGAGTCTCTGAAGAAATATTGTGTGAGTGAGTGCAGGAATGTGGTCTGTGCCTGTCTATGTGTGCATGTGTGTGTGTGTGTGTAGCTGTATGAGTGTGTGTGAGTGTGTGTGTGTGCAGATGTATGAGCGTGTGCATACATCTGCACACAAATGTTGAGTGTATGAGTATGTGTTCATACATCTGTATATGTTATGCATGAGTGTGGATGTGTGAGTGTGATTGCAGTAGGTAAACCAGAGCCATCTCCTGTCTATTCCACTGTGTTGAGACATGTCAGATCTGCCCCCAACAAACTGTGATTTCCCACATTGTCCCACCTCTTTGGTACTGGGATGTCCCATGTTTGTTCCACTGAAATGTTTCTAGGCACAGTTTCTGGTCAGGATCACTGGTGGCAAACTGGTTAGGGAACTGGCTCTTCAACAAGCAGGCTTGTGTTCAACATCCAGTAAGATCAGGTAATTGCAGTTTCAACTCAATAACAACGGGTCACCTCGTAGTTCTCTGTCAACACACAACAACTAACGGGTCACCCCATAGTTCTCTGTCAACACACAACAGCTAACGGGTCACCTCGTAGTTCTCTGTCAACACACAACAGCTAACGGGTCACCTCATAGTTCTCTGTCAACACAGATCATTTTTGAATCTGCAGTGCACATCACACACCATGTTGTGCACAGTCAAAAGTAATTCAAAATTAAATTTGCAGCTCACAGTGTTGCCTCATGCACTAAATGATAGCAGGACAATGGAACTATATCCTTTCATCTTACAAATGGAAGAAAATGCAACAGATAACTAATCTCAGAAGCAAAAGCATGCCCAAACTAAAGCAGTAAACATGCCTATCCACCATACTGAGTGGAAACCTTTCTTTTAGTAGGATCACATGACTGGCCAACCCAATAAAATCAAACCAGAAACAACATGGAGGAACTCACTTGTCAAGGCAGTATTATTTAGCCCCACCAACCAGGCTGTCACTGTTTGGGGAACTGTAGGATGGGTAAGGGGCTCCACCTGGGGTTGGATAAGGAGCTCCACCTGGGGTTGGATAAGGAGCTCCACCTGGGGTTGGATAAGGAGCGCCACCTGGGGTTGGATAAGGAGCTCCACCTGAGGGTGGGTAGGAAACTGTGGCTGAATTTGGATAGGGTTGTTCATTTAGGAGTGGGTAGGATGGTTCACTTGGTGGTGGGTAGGGAGCACTGGCTGCAGATTGTGGGTAGGGATATGGAGGATCGCCACCCTGTGAGGGGTACGGGCTCCAGTAGGGTTCAGCAGCTTCTCCTACACTGGGTGCAGGCAGTCCAGTTTTTTCTGAAAAGTGAAGGTAAAATTGTAAACACAAATATTTAGTGATGTGCAAAATGGCATGTTTCATGAATACAAGACAACTGTGACATTTGATAACAACTGTGACATTTTATAACAACTGTGACATTTGATAACAACTGTAACATTTTATAACAACTGTAATATTTGATAACAACTGTAACATTCTATAACAACTGTAATATTTGATAACAACTGTGACATTTTATAATGTAATGACTGCCCTTTTGTGTCTCCTCCACACTGACTATCTGTGGTGCAGAGTTAACACTGGCTCTAATATCTAGAGGTTCACAACTCAATCAACGCAGACATGATCCTCTTCATGGTCACACAAAGTCTAACAGCGGTTAACACCAGCGGCACATTTCACGAGTTTATTTACACGTTAGCTCAATACACAAATCACAGGTGAATCCACTTACAGCATTCGGACAATAGACGTTGACATATTCACAGCTGGCTTTGACAATCAAACAGGATACCATTCACAGCTGGCCTTCTCGATCATTCATTCCTCGCCGATTCAAATCCACGTGCTCTAGTCATTCTCCATTCATCTTCACAGCTTCATTTTCCATCCTTTCTCTCTGGGGCCCAGTCACCGAATCCCGCCTGATTCTCAATCCCCCAGATCTCCTCATTCACACGTGACACTCTTTCCTGTCGTTTTCACCATATCTCCGTGAAACACATGCTCTCAGGGACTTCCCCAGTTATGCCAATCATCCCCTGACATTATCCCTATTTATAACATCATTACATCTCTCCTCCCCTTAACAAAAAAAAAATATGCAATATTTTTTTTTTTCCCATAACCTATATAAATTTCCATATAAGAATATATTGCCTTATTTTACTAATATGTTTACTGTTGGCTGGAATTCTACCATTGGTTCTCTGACTTGTACCACATATGCAGCATCTCTTGTCACTCCCCTTGACAGTTCTTGGCAATATGCTAACAGAATCACCTCCCCAAAGCGTTCCTCAACAACGCGGATGACCTTATAGGCTCTGTGACGTACTTATCAAGTCCTGAAGTCAGTCTACCTAAAGAAGACTGAACAACACCCCAAAGCGTTCCTCAACAACGCGGAAGTCCAAAAATGGCTCCAAAACCAGACTTATAAATCACACAGTTCTGTATGTTCCTCATAGAACCAAGTTCCTGTTGACAGTTCATTCAAAGTGATTGCTACTCCTTGTTGGTCTTCGTCATTCACCATGGTTTATACCAAAGCTTTGCCAGAATTTACTCATTTTAGCATTGTAGCAATTTCATTTTCTGTTTGTCCACTATATAATAGATATTTCCAAATTTCTATGTTTCAATACATCTGTAATTGTCTGTTAATAAAATTTCTATTATAACCTAATGTGTCTATTGGTTTTTTATAAACTCATACACCATCTTTCAGTTTTATTTTTAAATTCATACACCATTCCTCATTATCACTTTCACATCATAACTTTCATATCATCACTTCATACAAAATTTATTTTATTTGAATATTAATTGTTAGTAACAACACGTTTATTGAACATTTGTTAGTAATGTTAGACTGTTACTTATAATTATCTCCCTTTTCTATTTAACTCCCCTTGTGATTATTTCTGTTGACTTGTCACCTATAATTATCTCCCTTTTTTATTTAACTCCCTTTGTGACTATTTCTGCTTACTATCTTTATAACCTAGACATAATATCTGGAATGTGGTTGTCAACCCCTTTTACATGCATAATGTCAAATTTAAACTGTTGCAGTAACAATGCCCAGCGGTAAACTCTAGCGTTTTTATTAGCATCTATGTTCTGCAGTTTTACCAATGCAAGATTATCTGTGATGATTGTAAATTCTTTGCCGATTAGGAATTTTTGAAATTTTTTCAAACTGATCACTATAGCTAATGCCTCTCGCTCGAACGCACTATATTTCTGTTGCGCTTGGGTGAGTTTTTGTGACATATAATATACAGGTAATAAAACATTAGAATGTAACTGAGCTAGCATTGAACTTATGGTATGCAAACTCGCATCAGACTGTAAATAAAATCTTTTTGATATGTCTGGCTGTCTGAGAATTGGGAATGTGGAAAAAGTTTCTTTAATTTTTTGTAACAATTCGTCATGTTGTTGTTCCCATTTTAGTTTTGTTGGTTGTCCCTTTTTTAACAGTTCAAATAACGGAAAGGTTAGGTCTGCGAGACTGGGGATAAACTTTCCATAATAGTTAATAAGACCTAACAACGACTGTAGTTGTTTTCTATTTTTTGGTTTTTCAATCTTTAATATTTTTGATACTATTTTATCGTCTGTCTGTATTTTGTTATCATACACTTTATGTCCCAAAAATTCGATAGTTGTGAACGCAATTTCAGTTTTGGTTGGATTTACTGTAAGATTTGCTTCTTGAATTCTCTGAAATACTTTCTCTAACATTTGGAGATGTTTTGGCATATTGTCAGTATGAATACAGATATCATCCATGTATGCTACTACGTTTTCAACGTTGTTTACAGTTTTCTTATCATTTTGGTGAAAATTTTTGGCGCATTTAAAATTCCAAACGGAACTCGTAACCATTCTTTTAAGCCTAATGGTGATTGAAAGCTGGTATATTGTATTGATGTCTCTGCCATTGGTATTTGCCAGTAACCTTTACATAAATCAAGTTTTGAAAAAATGTTGGATTTATATAAGCTCTGAAGAATATCTTCTGTGCTTGGAATTGGTTCTGAATCTAATTCTGTGATGCTATTGAGTTTCCTGTAATCTACACATAATCTAAGTGACTGATCTTTCTTTTTTACTATCACCAATGGTGAGCTATATGGAGAAGTTGAATCTCTAATTATTTTGTCTTTTTGGAGTTGTTTAATTTCGTTTGTGACCTTGTCCAAATAATGCAGAGGTATAGTGTAATTCCGTGATCTAACTGGGATATCTGTCTTTAACTGAATTTCATACTCTATCAAATTTGTTCGTCCAGGTTTTGTAGTGAATATCTCCTTGAATTTTGAAATGATATTTTGAACTGCATTTTTATCTTGTTCATTTAATTGTGAGTTTATTTTGATGTCTCTCCAATCTTTACATATAACAACTGTGACATTTGATAACAACTGTGACATTTTATAACAACTGTGACATTTTTTACAACTGTGACATTTTATAACAACTGTGACATTTTATAACAACTGTGACATTTGATAACAACTGTAACATTTTATAACAACTGTAATATTTGATAACAACTGTAACATTCTATAACAACTGTAATATTTGATAACAACTGTGACATTTTATAACAACTGTGACATTTGATAACAACTGTGACATTTTATAACAACTGTGACATTTTTTACAACTGTGACATTTTATAACAACTGTGACATTTTATAACAACTGTGACATTTTATACAGACATAAAACAAAGACCAACTGTTTGCCCATAAATTTAGATAAACAGGTGGATTAGCAAGGGGGATTGATTAGTGCATAGTCTTCCAATAAAAAGGAAGGGCCCAGCAAAGTAGGTCTGATTATCAGAGACAGGTGTAGGTGTGATGTATAAGAGACAGGTAAAGGTGTGATGTATAAGAGACAGGTAAAGGTGTGATGTATCAGAGACAGGTGTAGGTGTGATGTATATGTGACCGGTGTAGGTGTGATGTATATGTGACCGGTGTAGGTGTGATGTATCAGAGACAGGTGTAGGTGTGATGTATCAGAGACAGGTGTAGGTGTGATGTATCAGAGACAGGTGTAGGTGTGATGTATATGTGACCGGTGTAGGTGTGATGTATAAGTGACAGGTGTAGGTGTGATGTATAAGTGACAGGTGTAGGTGTGATGTATAAGTGACAGGTGTAGGTGTGATGTATCAGAGACAGGTGTAGGTGTGATGTATAAGAGACAGGTGTAAGTATGATGTATCAGAGACAGGTGTAGGTGTGATGTATAAGTGACAGGTGTAGGTGTGATGTATCAGAGACAGGTGTAGGTGTGATGTATAAGAGACAGGTGTAGGTGTGATGTATCAGAGACAGGTGTAGGTGTGATGTATATGTGACTGGTGTAGGTGTGATGTATAAGTGACATGTGTAGGTGTGATGTATATGTGACCGGTGTAGGTGTGATGTATATGTGACCGGTGTAGATGTGATGTATAAGAGACCGGTGTAGGTGTGATGTATCAGAGACAGGTGTAGGTGTGATGTATCAGAGACAGGTGTAGGTGTGATGTATCAGAGACAGGTGTAGGTGTGATGTATCAGAGACAGGTGTAGGTGTGATGTATAAGAGACAGGTGTAGGTGTGATGTATATGTAACCAGTGTAGGTGTGATGTATCAGAGACCGGTGTAGGTATGATGTATCAGAGACAGGTGTAGGTGTGATGTATCAGAGACAGGTGTAGGTGTGATGTATATGTGACCGGTGTAGGTGTGATGTATCAGAGACAGGTGTAGGTGTGATGTATCAGAGGCAGGTGTAGGTGTGATGTATCAGAGACAGGTGTAGGTATGATGTATCAGAGACAGGTGTAGATGTGATGTATATGTGACAGGTGTAGGTGTGATGTATATGTGACAGGTGTAGGTGTGATGTATCAGAGACAGGTGTAGGTGTGATGTGTAAATGACCGGTGTAGGTGTGATGTATCAGAGGCAGGTGTAGGTGTGATGTATAAGTGACCGATGTAGGTGTGATGTATCAGAGACAGGTGTAGGTGTGATGTATAAGTGACCAATGTAGGTGTGATGTATCAGAGACAGGTGTAGGTGTGATGTATCAGAGACAGGTGTAGGTGTGATGTATAAGACACAGGTGTAGGTGTGATGTATAAGTGACCGATGTAGGTGTGATAATCAAAGACAGGTGTAGGTGTGATGTATCAGAGATATGTGTAGGTGTGATGTATAAGAGACATGTGTAGGTGTGATGTATCAGAGACAGGTGTAGGTGTGATGTATCAGAGATATGTGTAGGTGTGATGTATAAGAGACATGTGTAGGTGTGATGTATCAGAGACAGGTGTAGGTGTGATGTATCAGATATATGTGTAGGTGTGATGTATAAGAGACATGTGTAGGTGTGATGTATCAGAGACATGTGTAGGTGTGATGTATCAGAGACATATGTAGGTGTGATGTATAAGAGACAGGTGTAGGTGTGATGTATAAGAGACATATGTAGGTGTGATGTATAAGAAACAGGTGTAGGTGTCATGTATCAGACACAGGTGTAGGTGTGATGTATAAGAGACAGGTGTAGGTGTGATGTATCAGAGACAGGTGTAGGTGTGATGTATAAGAGACAGGTGCAGGTGTGATGTATAAGACACAGGTGTAGGTGTGATGTATATGTGACCGGTGTAGGTGTGATGTATCAGACACAGGTGTAGGTGTCATGTATAAGAGACATGTGTAGGTGTGATGTATCAGACACAGGTGTAGGTGTGATGTATAAGAGACAGGTGTAGGTGTGATGTATCAGACACAGGTGTAGGTGTGATGTATAAGAGACACGTGTAGGTGTGATGTATCAGAGACAAGTGTAGGTGTGATGTATCAGACACAGGTGTAGGTGTCATGTATCAGAGACAGGTGTAGGTGTGATGTATAAGAGACAGGTGTAGGTGTGATGTATCAGAGACAGGTGTAGGTGTGATGTATAAGAGACAGGTGTAGGTGTGATGTATCAGAGACAAGTGTAGGTGTGATGTATCAGAGACAGGTGTAGGTGTCATGTATCAGACGCAAGTGTAGGTGTGATGTATCAGAGACATGTGTAAGTGTGATGTATAAGAGACATGTGTAGGTGTGATGTGTCAGAGACAGGTGTAAGTGTGATGTATAAGAGACATGTGTAGGTGTGATGTATAAGAGACAGGTGTAGGTGTGATGTATCAGAGACAGGTGTAAGTGTGATGTATAAGAGACATGTGTAGGTGTGATGTATAAGAGACAAGTCCAACTGTCTTTGTCCAATCTCCCGATGCTCACCTGTTAACTGACAAGTTCAACTGTCTTTGTCCAATCTTCCCATGTCCACCTGTTAACTGATTGTCTCACTGTCTTTGTCCAATCTTCCCATGTCCACCTGTTAACTGATTGTCTCACTGTCTTTGTCCAATCTTCCCATGTCTACCTGTTAACTGATTGTCTCACTGTCTTTGTCCAATCTTCCCATGTTTACCTGTTAACTGATTGTCTCACTGTCTTTGTCCAATCTTCCCATGTCTACCTGTTAACTGATTGTCTCACTGTCTTTGTCCAAGCTCCCTGTGCAAACCAGTCCACTGACTCTCCTGCTGACTTTGTCCAAACTTCCTATGTTCCTACAGTCCAGTCCTTCTGTCTCTACGGTTGAGACAATTGACTGTCCTTTCTGTGTGGAGGCACTATAGTTCTGACTGGTTTGTTTGTTGTTATGATGATGTTACAATAAAATAATAACTGGTCCACCAAACAAAACTACATGTGGCAACTGAAGAGCAGACATGTTGTTATACTCTTAGATACAACAAAGTCTGCTCATAGCTGACTTGAATGTATCAACATCTTGTGGAGATTGACCACAGCTGATGTTGCCTGTCATCAGCCGGTACTGTGGACTCTTGATCTAGTCACATTTGTGTTTTGGTGTGAGTTGCTGTTCGGGAAAATGGGTGTAGCTGAAGACATTAAGTAGGTCCATCAAAAGGGGACACCAAGTAGCATATCAATACAGATGCCCTAGACCTACCTTCCTGGTTAGTTTTATCTAATACAGAACTTTATTACCACTTTAGAATAAACATTACAGTAATCTACAATAAATCTGTCACATCTACAAGTGTATCCACCAGGCATGCACAACACTAACATGTCACAGTGTAGAAAAACAAACTCAGACTCACATGACACTTCATACAGACAAAAACTCCCAAGCAACTTTAGAGAGACATAAATGTGTGAATGTACACAAACACGGTTTCAGATGAACATAAAGGAACACAGCATGAATGACAAACCCAACAAAATCTTACCATCAACACAAGACACAACATGGTTGACAAACCCAACAAAATCTTACCAACAATACATGACACAACATGGTTGACAGTCCCAACAACATCTTACCATCAACACAAGACACAACATGGTTGACATCTTCAACAACATCTTACCATCAACACAAGACACAACATGGCTGACAGTCCCAACAACATCTTACCATCAACACAAGACACAACATAGTTGACAGTCCCAACAACATCTTACCATCAACACAAGACACAACATAGTTGACAGTCCCAACAACATCTTACCATCAACACAAGACACAACATAGTTGACAGTCCCAACAACATCTTACCATCAACACAAGACACAACATGGTTGACAGTCCCAACAACATCTTACCATCAACACAAGACACAACATGGCTGACAGTCCCAACAACATCTTACCATCAACACAAGACACAACATGGCTGACAGTCCCAACAACATCTTACCATCAACACAAGACACAACATAGTTGACAGTCCCAACAACATCTTACCATCAACACAAGACACAACATAGTTGACAGTCCCAACAACATCTTACCATCAACACAAGACACAACATAGTTGACAGTCCCAACAACATCTTACCATCAACACAAGACACAACATGGTTGACAGCCTCAACAACATCTTACCATCAAGGTTTGGTGGAGGCTGAGGTTGAGGAGGACCATATGGTAAACCACTGACACCATCATACGATGGATGTGAAGCTACTGCGTCGTAGGATGGTGGCGGCATGCAGGGTGTCGCACCTGGACAAATATGCACATATGTGTGAAGATTAGGACATCTGTGTGGAGGACATGAGGGCACATGTGTGGAGTAGATGAGGACACACGTGTGGAGGAGATGAGGGCATGTGTGTGGAGGAGATGAGGGCACATGTGTGGAGGAGATGAGGGCATGTGTGTGGAGGAGATGAGGGCACATGTGTGAAGGAGATGAGGGCACATGTGTGGAGAAGATAAGGGCATACGTATGGAGGAGATGAGGGCACATGTGTGGAGGAAATAAGGGCACATGTGCGGAGGTCATGATGGCACATGTGTGGAGGAAATGTGGGCTTATGTGTGGAGGTTTTGATGGCACAAATGTGGAGAAGATTATGGCAGATGTGTAGAGGCAATGATGGCACATTTGTGGGGGATATGTGGGCACATGTGTGGAGGAGATTATGGCAGATGTATGGAGGAAATGTGGGCATATGTGTGGAGGTTATGATGGCACACGTGTGGAGAAGATGAGGGCATGTGTGTGGAGGGGATAAGGGCACATGTGTGGAGGAGATGAGGGCATGTGTGTGGAGGGGATAAGGGCACATGTGTGGAGGAGATGAGGGCACACATGTGGAGGAGATGATGGCATATGTGTGGAAGACATGAGGGCATATGTGTGGAGAAGATAAAGGCACATGTATGGGGGAAATGTGGGCATATGTGTGGAGGTTATGATGGCACACGTGTGGAGGTTATGATGGCATATGAGTGGAGAAGATGATGGCACATGTGTGCAGAAGACTATGGCACATGTATAAAGAAGCACACACATGGAGGAGATAATGGCTCATGTATCGAGGACACAATGAAACACGTATGGTATGTACAGCTGATTGGCATAGAAATATACTGGACGTTCATACAATTGACAGACACAGAAATACAAAACAGCCTCAGAGATGTACAGATGTGCAGACAGAACCTTACAAACAGAATCAGACAGACAGAAGTAGTATATAGGTTGCTTACAGATCCAAAAAAAAAAGATTAATACTTGCAGCTAACTGTTTTTTAAACTCATATTAGAAACCGCCAAGGCCTGGTGATGTCTAACATGTGTTTAAAAAGGAAGTAGTAGTTAGCCACCACCAAGGTCTGGTGATGTCTAACATACATGAGTTTATAAAGGAAGTAGTAGTTAGCCACCACCTAGGTTTGGTGATGTCTAGCATAAGTTTATAAAGGAAGGAGTAGTTAGCCACTACCAAGGTCTGGTGATGTCTAACATGAGTTTATAAAGGATGGAGCAGTTAGCCACTACCAAGGTCTGGTGATGTCTAACATGTGTTTAAAAAGGAAGTAGTAGTTAACCACTACCAAGGTCTGGATATGTCTAACATGTGTTTAAAAAGGAAGGAGTAGTTAGCCACCACCAAGGTCTGGTGATGTCTAACATACATGAGTTTATAAAGGAAGTAGTAGTTAGCCACCACCTAGGTTTGGTGATGTCTAGCATAAGTTTATAAAGGAAGGAGTAGTTAGCCACTACCAAGGTCTGGTGATGTCTAACATGAGTTTATAAAGGAAGGAGCAGTTAGCCACTTCCAAGGTCTGGTGATGTCTAACATGTGTTTTTAAAGGAAGGAGTAGTTAGCCACTACCAAGGTTTGGTGATGTCTAACATGAGTTTATAAGGGAAGGAGTAGTTAGCCACTGCCTAGGTCTGGTGATGTCTAACATGTGTTTATAAAGGAAGGAGTAGTTAGCCACTACCAAGGTTTGGTGATGTCTAACATGAGTTTATAAAGAAAGGAGTAGTTAGCCACTGCCTAGGTCTGGTGATGTCTAACATGTGTTTATAAAGGAAGGAGTAGTTAGCCACTACCAAGGTTTGGTGATGTCTAACATGTGTTTATAAAGGAAGGAGAAGTTAGCCACTGCCTAGGTCTAGTGATGTCTAACATGTGTTTATAAAGGAAGGAGTAGTTAGCCACTACCAAGGTTTGGTGATGTCTAACATGAGTTTATAAAGGAAGGAGTAGTTAGCCACTGCCTAGGTCTGGTGATGTCTAGCATGTGTTTATAAAGGAAGGAGTAGTTAGCCACTACCAAGGTTTGGTGATGTCTAACATGAGTTTATAAAGGAAGGAGTAGTTAGCCACTGCCTAGGTCTGGTGATGTCTAGCATGTGTTTATAAAGGAAGGAGTAGTTAGCCACTACCAAGGTTTTGTGATGTCTAACATGTGTTTATAAAGGAAGGAGTAGTTAGCCACTGCCTAGGTCTGGTGATGTCTAACATGTGTAGTGGCTAACTACTCCTTTCTTTATAAACCCATTTTAGCCATCACCAGACCTTGGTAGTGGCTAACTGCTCCTTCCTTTATAAACACATTTTAGCCACTGCCAGACCTTCGTAGTGGCTAACTGCTTCTTCCTTTATAAACCCATTTTAGCCACTGCCAGACCTTGGTAGTGGCTAACATAGGCTTATAAAGGCAGAAAGATGCAAGAATTAATCCTACTTTTTGTTGGGTAAACAACCGATTTACTCACAGAGTTTCACAGACATAATTAGACAGACACACAGTTTCACAGACATAATTAGACAGACACACAGTTTCACAGACATAATTAGACAGACACAGAATTTCACAGACATAATTAGACAGACACAGAGTTTTACAGACATAATTAGACAGACACAAAGTTGTACAGACATAATTAGACAGACACAGAGTTTCACAGACATAATTAGACAGACACAGAGTTTTACAGACATAATTAGACAGACCCAGAGTTTTACAGACATAATTAGACAGACACAGAGTTTCACAGACATAATTAGACAGACACACAGTTTCACAGACATAATTAGACAGACACAGAGTTTTACAGACAATTAGACAGACACAGAGTTTTACAGACATAATTAGACAGACACAGAGTTTTACAGACATAATGAGACAGACACACAGTTTTACAGACATAACTAGACAGACACAGAGTTCCACAGACATAATTAGACAGACACAGAGTTTCACAGACATAATTAGACAGACACAGAGTTTCACAGACATAACTAGACAGACACAGAGCCAGGGAAACACCAAAATTAACTGAGGGATTCAGATGCAAATACATGGACATATACTGACAGATGTGACATCAAGCACATAAATAGAATAATATAGTTAAGTCAGACACAGACTATCAGACAGCAGAAAAGCAAGCAAACATACCATCATAAGCCGGTGCTGGACCATTCAAGGGAGCCGTTTGGTTGTCTGGATTGTCAGCTGGTGGTTTGACGCCACCATCTGTACACAACGGACAGACAGACATAGTTAGCTCAGCTCTGTGTGTGTGTGTTCTAGTGTTGTTGTTGCTGTTGTCCTTGCTATGTGAATATATCCACTACTATGTGAACATATTCACAACTGTGTAAACATTTCCACTGTTGTGTGAACATATCCACTGCTGTGTGAACATATCCACTGTCGTATGTACATAACCTCTGCTCTGGGGACATATCCACCATTGGTAAATATATCCTATGCTGTGTCAACATATCCACCACTGTGTGCACATATCCACTACTGGATAAACATAATAAATGCCATGTGAACATATTTATCACTGTATGAACATATCCACCACAGTGAGAACAAATACACCAGTGTTTGTGTAAACAATGTAAACAAATCCACCAGTGTTTGTGTGAACAAATCCACCAGTGTTTGAACAAATCCAACAGTGTTTGTATAAACAAATCCACCAGTGTTTGTGTGAACAAATCCACCAGTGTTTGTGTGAACAAATCCACCAGTGTTTGTGTAAACAAATCCATCAGTGTTTGTATAAACAAATCGACTAGTGTTTGTGTGAACAAATCCACCAGTGTTTGTGTGAACAAATCCACCAGTGTTTGTGTAAACAAATCCAACAGTGTTTGTGTGAAAAAATCAACCAGTGTTTGTGTGAACAAATCCAACAGTGTTTGTGTGAACAAATCCACCAGTGTTTGAACAAATCCACCAGTGTTTGTATAAACAAATCCACCAGTGTTTGTGTGAACAAATCCAACAGTGTTTGAACATATCCACAAGTATTTGAACATATCCCCAACTGTGGGAAGATATCCACAAGTGTTTGAACATATCCACCAGTGTTTGTGTAAATAAATCCACCAGTGTTTGTGTAAACAAATCCACTAGTGTTTGAACATATCCACCAGTGTTTGTGTAAACAAATCCACCAGTGTTTGTGTGAACAAATCCAACAGTGTTTGAACATATCCACAAGTATTTCAACATATCCCCAACTGTGGGAAGATATCCACAAGTATTTCAACATATCCCCAACTGTGGGAAGATATCCACTAGTGTTTGAACATATCCACCTATGTGGGAAGATATCCACTAGTGTTTGAACATATCCACCGCTGTGGGAAGATATCCACTAGTGTTTGAACATATCCACAACTGTGGGAAGATATCCACTAGTGTTTGAACATATCCACTGCTGTGGGAAGATATCCACTAGTGTTTGAACATATCCACAACTGTGGGAAGATATCCACTAGTGTTTGAACATATCCACCGCTGTGGGAAGATATCCACTAGTGTTTGAACATATCCACAACTGTGGGAAGATATCCACTATGACAGGGGCTACAGTTGTAGAACAATATAGAGGCTACAGTTGCAGAACAACATGGTGGCTACAGTTGTAGAACAACATAGAGGCTACAGTAGTAGAACAAAATTGTTGCTAACATTGTAAAACAACATGGTGGCTACAGTTGTAGAACAACATTGTTGCTACAGTTGTAGAACAACATGATGGCTACAGTTGTAGAACAACATGGTGGCTACAGTTGTAGAACAACATGGAGGCCACAGTTGTAGAACAACATAGTGACTACAGTTGTAGAACAACATGACAGGGGCTACAGTTGTAGAACAACATGACAGGGGCTACAGTTATAGAACAACATAGAGGCTACAGTTGCAGAACAACATGGTGGCTACACTTGTAGAACAACATTGTTGCTACAGTTGTAGAACGACATGGTGGCTACAGTTGTAGAACAACATGGTGGCTACAGTTGTAGAACAACATGGAGGCCACAGTAGTAGAACAACATAGTGACTACAGTTG